GAAGTAGAATTTAAACTTCAGAGTCATTAGACTTAACCTCTGAGTCATGCTGCCTCCACCCACTTTGATGCTGAAGTGGAGTAAATTACTCTCCCCACTATTAATATTTGGGAATATGGCAGCAAAGAGTGATGATTTATTTAGTTCTGTCAAGACAGGATTATTTGGATAGAAGCTGTGCCTTTCTCTATACTCACCCATAGAGGAGGAAGGAGCTGCTGGCAGGTCCTTGCCAATAACAGAAGTTTAGGCAGGGCAGTGAGGCAGAATACCCAAGCAAATAACCATCTCCAGACATGTTTCAAATACCATTCACTTTAATATTATTCAAATGTGATTTGAATTAGTTTCTTTAAACAAATGAAAGTCCAATATCAACAGGATGTTGATTTCCTGTTGGATGTTGAACATGGTCATGGACATTTCAGCAGTTGAGACTTAAAATTCCAAGAAATGAGTGGACCCACTGTGGGTAACTGCACCCCAACCATCATCCTGGGTCTCAGAGACAGGAAGCATACCTGTGGAAGTATGCTGACAAAACAACCTGCCACTGATCTGAAGTCCTTGCATCGTGGGGTCTTCAAGATAAGGACAAGACCTCTGTATTAGAATGAGATGTAAGCAGACAACTACCATAGACATTCAGAAAGGGCTCAAAAGCGGAAATCCAGTTATAGAAATGGAAATATATTATATATGGGTAAAACTGGTTATCAAATACCCAGCTTCCAAACAGAGGGTGGGAAGCTGTTCCCCCTGTAATAACTCAGGCCTTCAGTGGAAGGTAGTGGAGGCCTACCTTGTCAACTCCAACTGCTGAAGCAGTCCTGGAGATCAATATGGAGTCCAACAAGGCAGCCGGAGCACCTTCACAACAGGAGCCTGATGGTCAGTGCCAAGCCATTCAGGCTACTGAAGTATTCCTAAATCAAACCTTTCTTGTGTTGGACCTTAGGAGAGGGATGGACCTGTAAGTTTGGAGATCACTGGGCTCATCTATGTGAAACTTGGAAGGAGGTATGAGCAATCATTTGGGGGCTGATATAGGTGAAGCTGACTAGGTACTCGTGTTTCCTTTGTTATACTCAATGTTCAAGTACCCACTAATAGAGGGCAGCAATGTTAGAACAGTGGTTGAGCCCTGATCTCATGTCTGTTTTGAGATTGTGTGTGTGTGTGTGTCTGTGTGTGTGTGTCTGTGTATCTGTGTATGTGTGTGTGTGTGTGTGTTTTGAAGGAACCAATTCAAGTAAACCTAAATCCCAATAAAGGTGATATAAAGTAAAACTCCTAGGGGAAAACCACGTACTATTGCATGGGGGTAGTAGGTTCCTTTTTCTTAAAACCTCATGATCAAGGACTTTCCATTGCTTTGGAGAATGACACAAAATTTCTGGCTGCCCAGCCCTGTGCTTCCTCTTTCCCTCTACATCCCTTCACTCAATGTGAACAGTTATAATGGACTGTCTTCCGGGTACCACATGCTAAAGCTACCTCTGGTCACTCTCCCAGACCTACAATACTCAGCAATGTTCCACCCCCACTTTTTGACTCTAGGAAGCAGTGGGTGGAGAAGAGAGGGAAGTTTAGCTAGTGCCACAAAAAAAAGGACAAGAAATGTTTATCTGGAGGATCCTAAGAAAGTAAGGGGGTAGAAGTGTCTGTTAAGCAACAGTACAGTCTTCCCCATTTCCATTCTTATTAATAGCTACTTGCTGACTTTAACATCTCCCCAATACCCTAACTCTAATATTTCCCTTCATAGTTGTCTGAGGTGTTATTTTAGTCTCTTTGAAGATATTTATTTGTTTTACATAGCAAACACCTCTAGTGCCAAGCATACGCCAGGCACTATTCTAAGAGGTCTACAAATATCAACTCATTTAACCCTCATAATATTTTTATGAGGTCAAATATTGTGCTACTATTACCTTCACTAATGTGCTAATATTACCTTCATTTTAAAGTTAGGGAAACTGAGGCACAGAGAGGTTACTGACTTTCCCTAGGGTTCATGGACAGTCCCTGAGAGAGCCAGGATTTTAGCCCAGGCAGCCTAGGTCTCAGTGACTAACTCATTGTGCCACACAGTTGACTCCACAAGGCAAGGCTCCCCTTGGAACCACTAGACTCTTCTCCATTAGTACACACACTTGAGAGCACTCTCGTGTCATTTAATCCTCGTAATTCCTCAAAGTGGCAGGACAGCTCTGTTTTACTTCTTTTACCAACTAGAACCCTCGGACTTAGCAAGTAAGTGACATTCATGGTCATTTAGCTAGTCCACAACAGACCCTTGACTCAAATGTGTTTCCTAATCCCTGGTTCAGGACACTTTTACTAACTATGTTGTGGGTCCCCATTCTGTGGATCTAAAAAATTTTCTTCACAAACAATATAGAATATAGAAGGAAGTTGCAGTTAGCCATCTGCTGCTTGTTAATAATCAGTTTAAATACTTGACCTTTCACATCAAGACCCAGAGATCAGTAAAGAGTCCTCTCTTGCCCTCACTCTTTCTCTTGCTGAGATTTTTTGCCTTGTTTTTCTATTGTTGGAAAAGGATAATTGAATCAGTTGCAAAAAAAGAAAAACATTTTTAAGACAGAATCTTGCCCTGTCACCCAGGCTGGAGGGCAGTAGCACAATCATGGTTCATGGCAGCCTTGACTTCCCAGACTCAAGTGATCCTCCTGTCTCAGCCTCCCAAGTAGCTGAGACTACAGGTATGCATTACCACATCTGACTATTTTTTTTAATTTTATTTTTCATAGAGATGGGATCTCATTGTGTTACCCAGGCTGGTATTCATTTTTTTCAACAAACATTTAATAATCATCCACTAGTTATTGGAGGAACAGTAGTGATTGAAACAAACATTTGCATTCTTGATAATTGCATTATAGTAGCAGTGTATTGAGGGGATAGGTTGGGAGACGATCAATAAATATGCACAGGCAATGCTTTAGTGGTGATAACTACAATGAAGAGGATAGCAAGGCAAGGCAAGAGAAAATGATGGGGTGGGGATTGCTATTTTAGGCACAGAGACCAGGAAAGCTCTTTCTAATGAGGTGATGTTGGGACACAGACCTGAACAAAGTAGGGGGCTGCTGAAAAAAGTGTGGTAGGAAAAGAGGAGAACAATGGTGCAAAAGCTCTAAGGCAAAGTGCCCTTGGCCTGTTTACAGAACAGAGGGAGCTGATGTGGTTGGAGTAGGAGAGAAGTAGGGGCTGATCAGGCAGAGCCTAGTAGTGATGGTAAAGGTTGTGAAAGAAGAATAGAGAGCTCCCCAAACTCTAAAGGTACACTGTGTTCATTTTTAATAGAATCTAAGGAGAACTATGGGGTTTTAGGTCTAAATGACCTCTCCATTGTCATCAGTATTTGACTTTGGATTCCACCCAACACTTCAGTAGGTTTTGCTTGCCCAGCCTTGAAGAATTTTCCTCTTACCAGTTAAAGGCCTCATACCCCATCCATCTTTATACTTCATATGGGTTTCTGATTCTTCCTTTTTTGTTGTTGTTGTTGTTGTTTTTTCAAATATTCTTCTTTTTCTCATGATCCCTGTTGTCTTCTTCTAGTCAGTGGCTTTGAGCTACCTAACCATGAAATGTACATTTGTAAAATCCATCCATACAACTAGGATCATCCAGGGAAACAGGGTTATCATCTTAGACACAGAAAGGTGTATTGCATTGGGAAGGGTGCCCCAGCCCAATCCAGGAGGGGAAGTCAACCTCCAGTGAGCAACCAGTCCTCAGTGCTCTCTTTCAACACTGGTCATCCTGTCCCCTGGGTCCTGGGCTCCCTCTCTGCCATAGCTACCTAAGAGTCACAGTGAACAGGTTTTTCCATCTAAGCCTTCACCCCAGGGTTTCAGCCTTTTCTTGCCTTTGCTTCTCCTCTGGAGGTATGGCCTTTCTCCTACCTTTCCCATTTGTGTTCTGGCATAGGAAGGTCACAAAATTACACTGGAAAAGGTTGTAAATGTGGGTTACTGCTTCTTCACTGGGCTCCCAAGGGTACTTAGCAAACACTTGATCCCCTTCGTCAATCTCTTCTTGACTCCCTGTGGTGTTCCTTATAGTAACATTTCCTCCCAATTTTTACATTCACCAAAATAATAGCAACTACCATTTATATGTGCCAGGCATTCGTAATTGCATTTAATAATTATCCAAGAGAGACCAGCTAGGAGGTATACAGACTAAAGGTGCAGATTTTGAATCTAGGAATATTTGAACCTAGCTGTGTTATCTTGAGAAAATCATCTGAGGCACCTGAGGAAGAGTGAATTTCAATAATTTTCTCAAGATGACACAGCTAGGTTCAAATATTCCTAGATTCAAAGATGAGGATAATTATCCAGAGAGGCCATGGGCAGAAGCATCTAACCTAGAGCAGGCCCACTGGGGATATCTCTCTCTGTTCACCCTCCCTAGCACCTCCCCCACAACCCCCCGTCTCTTCTATTTTAAAACGAAAATAAATTAGTTTTACCTGACCCTCTAGCTACTGTCCTATCTCATCACCCTTCTTTCACTGTCATGTTTTTCCTCCACACTTTACTACCTACTCTGTCAGTCCCCTAGACTCTGGCCTTCCATCGAGTTGTCTTACTTGCACTATATTCTCAAAGGCCATCAATAACCTCGTAACGGGCAAACCCAGGGCCATTTTCAGTCTTTATCCCATTGAACACTGAATCATTAGACATCAGTGGCAATCTCCTCCTTGAGACTCCTTCTCCTCTCTGTGATATCGTTCATTATTGGTGCCTCTCTTGCACTCGTACCGCTTGGTCTATTGTGTTTCTTTTGATGGTGCCTCTTCTATAAATGTGAGCACTCTTACAAGGCTCAGTCGCGGACTTCAGGCTTACTCTTCCTGAATGACCCTCCTCTCCTTCACCCACTCCATTTCTGTGGATGATTTCTAAACCTGTTGGATTTCAGTGTTACGGTAAGTACCAGAGACACTAAAATAAGAATGCCTTAAACAAGAAAGAAGTTTATTTCTTGCTCATGTAAAAAAGTCCGGAGTTGGCAGTTCACAGTCGGTAGTATAGTTCACAAGGTCGTTGGGGTTCTGACTTCTATCTTCCTGCTCCGCCATCCTCAGAATTTGGCTTCCTCCTCATGACACAGAATGTTTGTCTAAGATCCAGCTGTCATGGACTTCTGGCCTGCAAAAGCAAGGAAGAGATGAAAAGAGCAAATTTCCCTCATGTATGTATTTATTTATTGGTTTTTTTCTGAGACAGGGTCTCACTCTGTCACCCAGGCTGGAGTGCAGTGGTGTGGTCTTGGCTCACTGCAACCTTGATCCCCTCGGGCTCAGGTGATCCTCTCACCTCAGCCTCCTGGGCAGCTGGGACTACAGATGTGCACCATCATGCCCAGGTAATTTTTGTACTTTTTTGTAGAGACAGGGTTTTGCCATCTTACCCAGGCTGGTCTTGCACTCCTGGGTTCAAGCGATCCACCTGCCTCAGCCTCCCAAAGTGTTGGTATTGCAGATGTGAGCCACCACACCAGGTTCCCCACTCTTCTTAAAGACATAGAAGTCATATACAACACTTCCATTTTTATTCTGTTGGGCCGAACTTAGTCATATGACCAATGTTAGCTAGAAGAAAGCAGGAAAATATAGTCTTTACTCTGGGTGGCTCTATGCCCTGCTAAAATTTAACAATTCTATTACTAAGAATGAAGGAGGGAACATATATTGGAAAACAGCTAGCAGATTCTGCCACAATGCCCCAAATAATACTTTAAGTCCATTCTCTCTCCTTATCTTCCATCCTTCCAACAGCTTACTTACAGGGTCCACCGTCATCTGAAATTTAATATTTCTAAGATTAAACTTGTCCTTCCCCCTTTGACTTATTTCCATCATAAACTTTATGAGTTTTTCAATGACATAAAATAGAAACTCAAAATATATTGATGAACAATTGAATTCTAGCAGATGCCTCTTTATTTCTTGCCTTTCTCTGTGTTATCGTCAAATCCAGCCCTTCCTTTCCATTCCCGTTATCGTCCCCTGGTTCATGCCCAGAAGACTACAGTATTCCCTAAATGGCCTCTCTGATGCAGCCTCTCTTTCCTGTTTTCCTCCCCACACATTATTACTAGCTTACGATGACTAAAACATTATTTTAATCTTCACCCTCAAAAACCTTAATAGTTCCCCTCTGCCTCTGGTGGAGACCTCAAACTGAAGGCTGTCTCAAATCTAAGCCTAATTTTTATCTCCAGCTGTACCTCTGTCCACTCTGATATGCAAATTTATATTCATCCAACTAACATCACAGTTTCTGTTTCTAAACTTTTATTCAGGATCCAAGGACTTGAGACACTCTTCCTTTCCCTTTCCATCAAGTAGAATTCTATTCACCCTTCAAAATCCTCCTCAAATTCTACTTTCTTTGAGATGTTTTTTCTAACCACTACAGCTCAGCGATCCCTCCCTTCTTAGAATTCCTATCGTAACCACTGTTTCTACCATTCACTTGAATTTATTATTTACTATCTCATATTGCAAAGCAGAAGTGTGTGTGTGTGTGTGTGTGTGTGTGTGTGTGTGTGTGTGTATGTATCTTATTTCCCTAACCAGGTATCAAATTCCCCCAAAAAGGCAGAGAATCTGTCTTTGCCATAGACTAGCATAGTGCATTTCATGGTAAGTCCTCAAGATGTTTTTGTGCCATAAGTTATCTCTGAAATTAGATTTTAGTAAGGTCATTTCCAGTGATAACATAATGTTAGAGTCCCCTTAGCACCTAGAAAAATAAATATTGGGATTGATTGATATGGACATTCTTTCTTTTAAATCTTAAAGTCTTCTAAGAGCAGAATAAAGTCTATCCAGGGTACCTAAAACTGTCCCCCCAGGCTTTACTTGAATTAGCCCTTAAAAATGGCTGTTGATATATGCTCCAGTATGGCCCTGGCATCACGAAGACCATCATAACGATGGCCTAGGGCAGGCACCAATTGTTAAAGTGATAATAAAGAACATATGATGAATGTTAAGATATCATTATCAACTCCAGAAATAACTAACATTTATTTTGCCTTGATGATCAGCAAAGCATTTCTACTCATATTACATCATTTGCTATTCACCAAATAGGACAAATAGCATAGTTATTATTTTCATTCTATGGATGAAGAAACGGAGGCTCAGAAAGGTTTTGTGACCTGTAATCCTAGCATTTTGGGAGGCTGAGGTGGGCAGACCATTTGAGGTCAGGAGTTCAAGACCAGCCTGGCCAACATGGTGAAACCCTGTCTTTACTAAAATTACAAAAAGTAGCTGGCCATGATGGCATGCACCTATAATCCCAGCTACTCAGGTGGCTGAGGCAGGAGAACTACCTGAACCCAGGAGGCGGAGGTTGCAGTGAGCCAAGATCATTCCACTATACTCCAGCCTGGGTGACAGTGAAAGAGTAAGACTTTGTCTCAAAAAAAAAATAAATAAATAAAAAAGAAAGGTTTTGTGACCTCGTTAAGGTTGTCCAGCTCATAAGTAGAAGTACTTACACCTATGCCTTCTGCCTCCCTATCTTTCCACTGCATGCAATGGTTTTGCAGTTGCCTCTCTCAAAGCACAGTTGGAGTGTTTGAAGGTGGCAGAATCTTCATCTTAAACATGTGCAACCCCTTTGCCTTTTCTAGCAAGCAAAGTATTCATGCCAACAACACCAGCAGCACAAATAACAGCTTCCCCCAGCTTTGCCTATCCACCACCCCCACTGCCTGATTGCTGTTTGATACCCCACCATCACTTCCTGAATGACTTGCTACAGGAGATGAGACATACTTTTAAAACTGCACCACACACCAACCACTGTGGCTGCTCAACGGCCCTAATATTAAGAAGGTCTCAGCCTTAATAATCTACCTACATACTTCCTGGCGTTTGGTGAGAGAACCCAGCAAAATTATGAGTCTGTGGAATCTATGTTCTGTCTATCTCCTCACACCTAATCTCAATCCATAGCGTAGTGTGGCAATTAAGCACTAGGGCCTGACTTCAAAAAAGACTTGAGACATGGGAGATCTGAGACCAGGACTGGCTAGATGATTTGCGAGGCCCAGTGCAAAATGAAAGTGGAGGGCCCCTTGTTTAAATATTATGTAGAATTTAAAGGTGGCAACGCAGCATTAAGTCCAGTTCAGGGTCCTTTTGAGCTCAGGGTTTTGTGCAACTGTATAGATCACATGCCCATTCCAGGACCATCCAGGGATTCAGGCTGGGACACTACAAACACCCCTCTCCTCGAACTCATCAGTACAGAAAAACAGTTTATCTGGGAGAATTAGTGTTCTTGAATTTTAGCAAACTATGACTCTTACCACCAAAGGCAGCATTAGTCTCTTTCTGACCTGCCACCCCAATGGCTTATTTCTATTGCTTTTACCATTTAGCACTCATCATGTTGTGTTATCTTTCACTTGTGTCCATATCTGTCTTATTTTCTGGGCTGTGAGCTCCTCAGGGCTGCAACAATGTCCTGTTTATCCCTGTGTCCCTAACACAGCATCTGACACATAATTAGCACTTAATAAATGTTTGCAGATAAGGGTTCCCAATTCCCCCTTCCTACTCTCACCCCACATACTCCCCACCCTGTTATATCTTCTGTACTTAGCCACCCCCCAACTAAATCCTCAGGCCTTGTCCTGGATACTGCTCCTACGGGAAAATCTCTGTTGGTCAGAAAGGAAAGAGGTTTACATCAGCTGTCCCTAAGACTCTTTCAGTGGTTGCTGAGCTAAAGAGCAAGGGTAGCCAAAGTGAGACAGCACCATCAGGTTAAGAAATCCCTTTGTTTTGTACCACTTTAAAGTGATGTGTATACTTTATGATCCTTATTCTTCCATATACCAAGCCTTGGATAAACTTTAGGGTCAGCCTGAACACACTTATGTGGAAAACTGATGTTGTGGTCATCAGAACCTACATGCAGCCAGTACACACCAGAACCGCCCAACTAGTTTTGTTTATGGTTAACACCCTTTCTGATTGGTCAGGGTCCATGTCATATTGGTTATTCAATACTTTGGATATCATCCATGCTTGCCCCAAACAGTATTTCTCACTAAAGAGCCCTCATTGAGAATTACAGGATAATGAAGAAGAGGAGGAGGAAGAGCAGAAAAATAATGTCTTAAAATTAGTTGTCTCTCATTTTACAAACTATATATTAAAACAGTTTATCTTCAAAAGTGATAGAGGAGAGAAAAGGGAGGAGGAAATAAGCTTTTCATCTTCCTATGTTACATTTTAAAAGCATTCATCCTTCAGCTTTCACTAGGAAATGTTCCCTGAATTCCCAGAGCAGATCAAGTCCCCTTGTTGGTCTCTCTCAAATCACCATAATACTTACATATTTTGTGCCTATCCATTTGTTTGTATGATTATCTGATCAACATTGGTATCTTCCTCTGACTGTAAGTCCCAAACAGCAAGAATTATGTCTGTTCTTCTCGCCATTGTATCCCCAGCTCCTTGTATCTTATTTAAAAGGGTAGATGTCCAAAAAACACTTATATTATGAATTAAATTAATAAATACCCACCATAGTATCTGGAACAAAACTGATCCTGAAAAAATACACGCATTCATTCACAAATGTATGAATGAATAAACAAAACTTGCTTACTTCAGAAGTTGTTCCAAGAGAGTCTGGGAAACACATGAATAAATTCTATCAATTAATTCCACAAATATTTATTAAGCCCCTTCTATGTGTCTGGCACTCTTCTAGAGACTAGGAATATGGAAGTAAACAGAAAAATATCCCCCAAAATCACCAACTTGGGGAATATTTTCTCCAGAAACTCCAAAGCACTCTCTTCCTGTATCTTCCAAGAAGAGAGACAAAACGGTTACTTGCTTTTTGCAGAGATCACAGGAAAATAAAAAGCAATGACCCAAGACTCCATCAGCCAAGATATTCCAGGTTCTTGTTCCAGCTCTTCCACCACTTGGCAATATGATCTTGGGAAAGAAATGCACCTAATATCTTAGACTACATGGAGGCTTATGGCCTTCACCTCTCAAATGCCTTCTAGCTTTCAGAGTCTGTAAGTCTAAGTAAAAATATTTTTAACAAAATGGATCTCTAATGAGAAACTTAGCTTTTGAATGAGAATGCTGTAGAAAATTTAGTTGTCATGACATATCAAATATACCTAGAGTAGAATGCACAAAAAAAAGAAAAAGAAAAAAAAGACATCCTCAAGAAACTGGGTGAACTGCATTTGTGGCAGCTCCTCAGGGAGCTCCAAGGCCAGAAAGATTAGGAATTGAAAAAAGTGCAACAGTCAGATGGCTACAGTTTTCTTTTTATGTTCTCAGGGCCAGAAGCAGCTGGAAAAGACTCAGAAATCATCACAGTGAATGGGATTCTGGGAGAGTCAGTCACTTTCCCCGTAAATATCCAAGAACCCCAGCAAGTTACAAACATTGCTTGGACTTCTAAAACATCTGTTGCTTATGTAACACCAGGAGACTCAGAAATGGCACCCATAGTTGCTGTGACCCACAGAAATTATTATGAACGGATACATGCCTTAGGTCCGAAGTACGATCTGGTCATTAGCGATCTGAGGATGGAAGACGCAGGAGACTACAAAGCAGACATAAATACACAGGCTGAGCCCTACACCACCACCAAGCGCTACAACCTGCAAGTCTATCGTAAGTCATGGGAAGACGGAGGGCTTGTGTTTTATTTTTACTTTGCAAATTTGCTATCTGAAACACATCTACATTTCTGATAATTGGGTCCCCTAAATCTTTTTATATCTATAAACACTTATATATTAATACATCAATACTTCTAAGAGGATGCAGTCTTATTTCAGACCTGGATTTGCCAACTTCTAGCTATGTAATCTTCCATCTGTAGTTGGTCCCCTGGGCCTTGGTTTTCTTTTTTATATAATGCCAATGATCATACTACTC